GGGATTTGAACCCTAGACCTGCTACTTGGAGAGGGTGACGACTTGACCACTTCACTAAGCCGCCACACCTCTTTAAAAATATTATTATTAATGATACTTTTTGGCAAAATCTTTATATTTTGCAAGATATTCTTTTACCTTTTTGTAGTTCACTTAATCTTTTACAACGTAATAAAACATATCTTTATCAAGTTGTTCATTGTTTTGCATATTTTATATATATTGTGAAAAATTTACCTGATATTGAGTTTTCTGAAAATATGATTTCACGATTAGAAACAAGATGGTCTACTTGGGAACAACCTCTTTTTTTTTTAAGCTTTTTGCTAAATCCAATTTATCATGGAGATAAATTTAATCCTCAAATTAAAAACCTTACTTATACTCATTTTGAAAAATGGTTAAATTACTATTACTATTCTTGGTTTAAAAAAGAACCTATTACATTGCTTCAGGAACTTGAAAATTATAGATGTAAACAATATTCTTTTACTTGTTTTATATTTCAACAATATGAATCTGTTTTAGATTTTTGGGGTGGTGTATCAGAAATGGCTCCTGAATTAGCTTTTATTGTATGAAAAATATTTTCAATTTCTACAAACTCAGCTTCTGTTGAGAGATTATTTTCTTCTATGAATTTTATATATACCAAATGAAGAAGTCTTCTTGGGGTAATATTTATTACTACTTACATTTATAACTATATTTAATTAATATAATTAATTATATTTTATATTATTTTTTAGTATGGAAAAGTTTTTGATATGAGCCAGATTCAGGAAAAAATTTTATATAATAAGCAACTTAAAAAGTTAAATAATTTATATGTTATTTATTAGCATAAACATCTTGCTCTTCTAGTTTCTAATAATTAAAAAGATTTACAAGATGAAACTCGATCAAATAAAAGTGAAAGTGATTATAGCATTTCTTCATCAAAAGATGAAAATACTAAAAAAATAGTAAGTAATTCTGAGGATATTGAATCTGAACAAGAATGGAAAAAAATAGTCGAAAATTGGTTTGATATGCTATTAGAGGAAAACAATGAATATTAATTAATGAATTTTGAATCTGTACAAGAAGTTACGATTCATCCTGTTAATAATTCTGAAGGCAAGTGGAAGCTTGAAACTTTGTTTATTGATATATTAGATGCACCTACTTTTATTGACAATTTAAAGATATAAAGTAAGTATTTAAATTCAATAATACTAAAATATATTAATACATGTAAATATATATTTGCACTAATATGTAAAAATATAATTTGTTATTCATATGACTAAACTTTAACTTTTTATAAAATCTATTTTTTATAGTCAATTTTGCTAATAATTAGCATGGTAAGAAATAATTTTTCTACTATATATTTATTATACTTTCTTACATATATTTTTAATATATTTAATATAATTTTAGGTTTGACATTTATGGTAAATTGAAGATTTTTATATATAGGTTATAACAATTATACGTACAAACATTGCTTTAAATTTTTGATTATAAATTATCATTATTTTATTCAAAGTAGTATATATTATGAACATTATGTGTAGTTGAAAATAATAAATATAAGAAATTTATTTGGTGCTTATTCGTATGCCATATATTATTAACAATTGTTATCTAATATATAGTGAAAAAAGTATTTTTAATAAATCATTAACATTATGCGAAAACCAGAAATATTAAATTTAAAATTGTTATACGTAAAAATTAACCCAATTAATATAGCACAGTATTAGTCAAGATAGTCAAATAATTTTCTATAGTAGTAAAAATAATAAATACACACATGTGTAATACATAATATGCTAAGCAGTAATGCATTAGCAAGCGATAATCAAATAGGTGATTCCAGTTCTAACAAGGAAATCCAATAAATATGCAAGGAGAAAAAATAAGTTAAATTTAATAAAATTACTAATTCAGAAATTATGGTGCGAATACTAATATAGTCAAATTTAGCAAGAAATATATAACAAATAATATAAAGGGCAGCACAAATTAATTCATGCTCTGCCCTACCCGAAATCTGAAATTTTGCCATTTTGTAGCAGCTTAAACATCTTTTTATAGTCAGCTTGCATTATGCAAGTAGGCAAAGATTATACAATTACAAAAATTTCAGCTGACAACTAGCCAGCATTTATACAAACGAGAAACTACTAACTAATTTCCATTGCAATCACACTAATATCTTATTAGTGTTAGAATCATTCAACAAATATATCACATGCATGCAATTCTTTTCAGTTAATAGATAAACCTGCTTATTAGATAAATATAACCTTTTTTAAATTTATCAAATATATCGATATGTACATATTATTTTTAAATTAATTGCTAAGTATGGTAAAGTATATTTAAAATTCACAGCCACAAATTTAACAAAAGTTACTATTGCTATTAAAAAAGTTGCAAAAGAATTTCATAAGCAATTGATTTTTATTTTATGTAAAACCTGAATTTAATAGCATAATAATTACACTATCAAATGATGAGATTCTCAACAAAAGAGTTTAAAGCTAGGAGTACAAAACACATTAATTACAAGTTGCTGTTATATTGATTGCTTTAACACTAGTATATTTTGTGATATTACAGTATTAGTAAAGATTAAGCCCATATAAAATTTTTTCGGATAACTGACCCATATTACAAACTCAAAACCAGGTAACTTGAGTAATCTAGTTAATATAATTATAATGGATAGCACAAAAATTTTGGATTTGACCGACCACATAAAAATTAAATTTCATGATTTGGGTCATATTGCATGAGTTGAATTATTGGCCATTCCAAAGGTTCTTTAAATTTTTAAATCATATGAATGTAACAATCAAACTGCTAATGCTATGCTGAAATTTTGTTATCTGGGTTATAGCTATTATCATAATTCCTAAAACACCTGATAAAAATTAGCTGAATGATTTTTCGCCCGATTTGGTTAAGTTATAGATTTCGGAAATAATAAGATTCAGTAACAGATATATCAGATATGTAATTTAATATGATCAGATGACTAATATATATTACAATAAGACTAAATATCGACATGCACTTGTAAGTTGTAAATTTCAATTCCTACTCTTTGGCATAATTCATTTTCACCCAAACTAAGCCTTTATTTATTTCTAATAATTTTTTGATGAAAATTTGGTTTTAAAAAATTGTGTAAAATTTCAATTCCCATTTTTTAGCAAGATCCATTTTATTCAAATAAAACCTTTATTCATTTCTAATTCTTTTCAATGAAAATTTATTTTTAAAAAATTGTTCAAAATTATAATTTCTATACTTTGGCAAGATCTATTTTCATTTAAACGAAGCCTTTATTTATTTTTATTTTCAATGAAAATTTATTTTTAAAAAATTGAATTAAATTTCGATTCCTATTCTTTGAAAAGACCCATTTTCATTTAAACGAAGACATTTATTTATTTCTAATAATTTTTCGTTTCTTGTCAAAGACAAAATATTTATTTTTAAATAATTTGGGTTATATCTAGAAATGATATTTACAAAGCACCTTCACCGGAAAATCGTTGAAAAAAATTTAGAAGTCTTATTAGTTCGACAAATTGCTAAACAATTAGATATCAGCAAGTTTTTTAAATCAGATGGACAATCTTTAATTTTTAAATCCATATATACTTTCATTTAATTTTGGATCCCATTTTTGACCTAATTTTAATTGTTAGTACTAAAATTTTTCAATATATAAATAAATATAAATATATAAAGTTTTTTACTTTGATAATTCTTTATGCATTCTCAACAAATATTAATAATTTCTTGGTTACTTGGAATCCTAACCTGGGATTCATTTTTAAGCTAGTTGACAAATTCATAATCATATTAACTTTTTTAATAGCAGCACCTGTTTGTGTAATATATTTGTTATAAAAGTTTAATTTATATCTGGTCCCTTTTTAGATTTCTTGCTAAGGTTTATTGGTTGCTGTCTTTTCTATAAATTTTCATACAAACTAAACACCAAGCATGTTGGACAAGCATTGGAACAAAAATTTAATAACATTGACATTATTGTTATAATTAGTCATAATAGCTTTTATGCCGAAATTACTAACTTAACCAAATCGGCCAAACAATCATTTGGCTAATTTTTATCAGATGTTTCAGGAATTATGATAATAGCTATAACTGGTTAGAAAAACCAGTTACAGCTATTTTCATAATTTTTGTAACACCTGATAAAAATTGGCCAAATGATTTTTTAGCCGATTCAATTAACTTTGTAATTTCGGCATAATGTATATGTATAATAAAAACTACTTTTGTTTTATAATAACTGTTATACAGACAGTTATAACAATAATATCAACATTATTAAATCTTCGTTCGAATGCTTATCCAACATGTTTAGTGTATCAATTATGTCTTAACAAGTAATATAAAAAATGCACTATATTAATTAGACTTTTATTGCACGAAGTATATGTTAAAAGAAGATCCTATATGAAAATAGTTATTACTTTTATTTGTATATGCAAGTTGGTTCAAATTGTTATAATGTCTAACCAGAGTAATTCATATTTTTTTAAAAAATATTTATATTATTCATATTCAATGAATATGGTTCTGAAAGTGATAGAAGCTTTTTAATGCATCTATATTTTTGAAAGTTCTTAAGAACCTGTTTTATAAATATATGCTAAACCCAAATTTTTCGAAATGATAAGCTTTCTAAACTTTTTTTAAGCGAAGATATTATATTTCTGCATTCTACCAGAGATAAAATATTAAATAATATTTATATTAGTATCTGATTTTAATTACATACTGTATATGTGTGAATCTATTATGCCAAAATAACAAACTTAATTAAATCGGCTGAAAAATTATTCGGCCAATTTTTATCAGGTATTTTAGAAATTATGAAAATAGCTATAAGATTGCTTATATGGATCATCTGAGTAATCTTTATCTGGGCCTAATCTCTAGATATTAATATGATATTTTTTGCAAAAAATTTATCAAGTTTTTTTGCCATCTTCAAAAAAAGAAAATACCGGAAGAAGATTTTATTTGTTGCAATTTGTATATTCATTTTAATTCGCCATTTTAGACTTAAACTTATCAATTTGACAGGTTATCAGTTTTGACTAGGTCGACTATATAGCAATAGATTTTATTTTTTATAATATTATAATTTTTATATTAGGTCATTTGGTCATTTCAAAAATAAAATGACCAAATGACCAATGACCAATTCATTTAGTCATTTGGTCATTGGTCATTTGAAGTGCCAACACTAGTAAACACAAAGAAGATATGCAAGATATTCAATCCTTTTTTTCATTTGTTACAATTAATTATAATATAATAGGGTGAAACCCACACTGCCAATTAGTAAAATCCATGCAGTACAGATTTCATCCTGTTAAAATAAAAGCTACAACAAAACTTTGGATAAAGATATCTTGATAACTACATAAATAAATTTGATAGTTATTTTTTTTATTTAGTTTTATAGATCTATAGAATTCAAATAAAAAAATTTTCATTGAATTTGTCAGATAGTTGTTGAGATATTTTTGTTTAAAGCTTTAAAAAAAATTAAAACATTAAAATTTTAAATGAAGATATCTTGATATGACTAAATTCAATGGATTTTTTTTTTGTTTTTGAATTTTAGAAATCTATAGAATTAAAATAAAAAAATTTTCATTGAATTTGGTCATATTGAGATTTTTTAAAAAAAATTTGGTGCAGCTCTTATAGGTGTTTTGATTTTTTCTAAAGCTTTAAGTAAAAATATTTCAATAACTACCTGACCAAATTTGATGAAATTTTTTTTTATTTAAGTTCTATGAATCCAAAGAATTCAAATAAAAAAAAAACTATTAAATTTAGTTAGGTAGTTATTGAAATATCTTCATTTAATGTTTGGTGCAGCTTTTATTTTTACAGGTGAAATCTATGCTATGCGGATTTTACTAATTGGCAGCACAGGTTTCACTCTGTCATATTATAATTATTTGATCAAACTAATTCTATATTATTATTATTATTTTTTGGTATTAAAGTAACCTCTTGGCTAGGGTTTTTTATTAGATTATTAAATTATTACATACTGTTATCATATTCCTATTTCAAGCTATCTTTTGGGGTACTGCCATAACACAATCCATATTTCAAGTACAATTTTTCTAATTAGTTCTTCATTATTTTACTCCTGCTTTTATTAGATTTATAATTAACTCCAGTATTGATATTTCCTGACATATAAGTTCAGCTCTGGAGACATTCCTTCTTTCAATCTAGTTAGCTTGTGAGAGTTCTCTTATATTTCCAATGGCCAAGTTGGTGTAACCTATCTATAAGGGTTATGATCATTGGGCCTCTGATTGAGTTCCCAATATAGTTTTTACTTTGTAGTACTTTCAAAAATTAGCTACTATTTCTAATTTGGAACTTCCTAAGCAAGTCCCTGTATATGAAAGAGATTTCTGAAATTTATACAATCTTGGACTTATTAAAAGTTTGTACTGCCCTAAACCAGTTTGCATTCTTTCATAGTTTTTGAGTTTCTTTAATTATACGAACACTAGCGGATCTTTCAGAAACACACCCTGGTGTGACTCAAGTTACAGATATTCTAATCCAATCATTTTATACAGGTTACTATAATACAAATCTAATTTTCAAAATCATTATCCATGGGATTTGAACTCTAAACCTGCCACTTGGAGAAGGTGACAACTAGACCACTTCAATAAGCCGCCACACCTCATAACAATATATATTATTTAATGATTTTATTACATAATTGTGACTTTTTTTTATAGGTTTTTTGTGTTTAGTCCAAATCTAGTGAATTTATTTGTAAATTATAAGAAAAATGCATATAAATTAAATAATAAGTAACTCATAAAATAGTATATTTCGAAATTCAAAATAAAATTAATAGAAAATAGTTTAAAAATCTAGGCTCCAGACTTAAACAGTTCCTATTTTCTAGTATTTATAATAAAACTAATATCAATATTGATATGCAAATTATTAGAGAATCTCTAAATTTCTGGGTTAGAATGGCCAGAATACACTATAGTTAGATTAAGGTTAGCTATACTGGTTAGTAGAAGCTATAGTAAAATTATCAACTAAGCATTTTTTACTTAACAACTATGGTTTTATTAATAAAATTTATAGCAAAATTAATCAATTCTGGCCTATTTAACTAGGTTTCTGTATAAGTTGACCGATATAATTCTATTTTGATAATACTATCCAATACAGTATTCCATTTCAGCTAATTTTTAATAGTATTCAAGTGCTTTGTATTTGTCCTTTTAACTCTGATACTATTTTGTATTTCCTTCCAAGTTCAGAAGTTCGGTTCTTGTACTGTATATTTAGAGAAAATTTATATAATCTGTATACTTGGAGAGATTTGACTGTAGTTTTATATAAAATAGTTTATGCACTTTAAACAATTATAATCAATTTTTATATACAAGTTGTAACCAAATCTTTCTTTTCCAATTTCTTCAACATTAAATACTGTATAAGCAAGAAATAATATATGGGGTTAGTTTTGAATCTTGGTCTAAATTAAACTTAACTCGGGTCATTAATCAAAATAACGCTTAGAGTATGCTTATACAGGTATTATTAAAACTTTTATAATTTTTACAAAATAAAAGGTTGATTTTTTTGTTTCATTAAAATAAAATAAAAATTGAATCAAAATGCAACTATTACATGTTTATAGACAAACACCAAGTTATAAAATTACATTTTTGATATGTATCTCAAAAATATAACTATTTTATTACCTTGACTAAATATTAAATGTTCTTCGCTATGCTCTAGATGATAAATAAAAAAAAATTTTTTGATACTTATCTTTAGTCTGGTCCTAGCTTATAAAAGCTCTTTATATTTTGCTCTTTATAAATACATACACTCTCTAAGTTATACTTGTTGGCAAAACTAAAAATGTTTAAATCTCACCCAAACCCAAATTACAAACTTTAATATAATTCTGTAATTAAATATATTCTATTTTATATAAACAAAATTTTTAATTTTTAAATATTTTCTTTTCAAGTAAAGTTTGAACTAGTACTTGACAAAATCAAACAAAAAGCTTGATATTTGATTTAATTACAAGTATTTGATTGTGCCAAGCACTAGCTTGAACCAAATCATATTTTTGAGCCTTTAATAATTCATATATATTTCTTAAAAATTTTTTATATTTTAACAAATAATTTTTTAATTAGTCAATTAAATCTATATAGTATTTTTTACAATAAATACAATTTTGACAAGAGTTGTAATATATAAATAGATTTCTTTTAATGGATTTTTCATAAATATGAGATATTGTTTTGAAGAATTTTTTTATTCATTTTTTTTGAATTTTAGTAATAAAAATATTATATATTTAAACTATGCAATTGAATCATTATTACATTTTTATATTTTAAACTATTCACTATTTCTATTTATAACTAAAATTTGGACTTAATTTAAAAATTCTTTTAAATATATAGAACTAGAATATACAAAAATATATATTTAATTATTTGATCTATTTTTTAAAAAATAATATAATTTTCATCTACAAAGACCAATATAAAGAGATATAGAGAAACTAATTATTATTAGTATGTCTATTAGAGCAGACCTGTGACTGGCTTAGCTATATGAATATGTGACTCATTTATACCAATCTAAGTGATAAATGCAGGTTTGTATTATTTCACCAACAATCATTTTATAGAAACAAAGGAAACGTTGATGTTGTATTATGCAGCATTAACATTTCTTTCTATTCTTAGACATCATATTTCACTAACAATTATTCATTAACAAATTTATTTTACTGATAGTTTATTTTACTAAAACTTATTTTACTGATAAGTTTTTTTTATAAATTACACTAACTTTAATAACTCTAATTTTAACCTAATCTAATGATATTAACCAGAATTATTTTGTATATAAAATGAGTTTTGGTAAAATAAACTTGTTGGTAAGTAATTATTAGTAAAATGTGGTTATTGTTAGTGAGTTGATCGGATTCTCTTAAATAATAATATTAAATAATTAAATAAAATAATAGCAATAAAAAAAAAATAAATAAATAAAATACTAAGGGCAATGACATTTATTACCTAATATCGATTTACTATAACCATCTACCTCACCCCCCTAGATAAGATAAGAAAACCAGCTAATCAAAAATCAAATCCAAAATAAGTGATTTGATTGGCTAAACAAAATAACAGTACTCAAAAAAACATACAGAGGGGTCTCCAAAATTCTGGATTAGAATGTATCAGAATACTGGTTAGCTAGAAGTAAAAATGCCTAGCTGTTAATTTTGCTATAAAACCTGCTAATGACTAGGACTAAACACCGACCTAGATTTGATGCATCCGACCCGAAAATTTGGAAACCCTCCTGTAAAAATTATCAAGAAAATCTGGTCCAGTACAGACTCCAGAAGTCAAATATTTATTAAGATCAAACTTGAGACTTCAACTCACACATGTAGCTGGTATATTTTAGATATATCACATTATGTTAGATACACATGTAGATGCGAGTTGAAGTCCTATGTCTGACTTTTTGTCAGCACCCTACTTTGCATTCATTTAACGATTAAGAAGATTATATTGTATGTAGCATAGTAATTAAGCCGATATAGCAAAAGGGGTTTTCTCATTATTCTAAAACAAGTAACTTTTTTTTTTTTTTGAAAAAAAACCGCTAGTATAACACTATATAGCATGATTTAATAAATACTAAAACAAGAAATTTTCTATGCGTATATATGTATGTTAAAAAATCATCATTTAACGCCTACCTTTTCCTACTTCGTGAACAACATTTTTTTTTTTTTAATACACAAAGTTGACATTAAAATGAATAGACAACTCAATCTTAGTTCCAATTATGAAAAAGAAATAGAAACTTCCAAAGAAAAAGTAGCTGATAATTCCGATAGACAAAATGTAAGTGGTGATTCTACTAGACAAAATGAAAGTGGTGATTCTACTAGACAAAATGATAACTTCCACAACCAACAAGGAATAGGCACTGACAAAAATAAAAAAAAAACATTTCGCCAAACTTTTTTTTTAACCCCTAAATATAATAAAAATTCGATTTATAGTTCACCAACAAGTAAATATTAGGAATTTTCAAATGCCTATATATATAGTATTATGGTAAAGACAGGAAATGGTACTCCTAATCGTGCACAAGTTTGTTGTGAGGCAACACAAGAGTGGAACAAAATTAAAACCAAAAGCATGGAGGAAATAAACAACATAATAAAGGCATATTTGACTACGCTATTTAATCTATATAACATACAAACAATGAAATTAAGAAATTTTGTGTCTGAAGAAAACTTAGCGCCTTTCTATTTTACTATCTATTCAGTAGAAGACCCTGTACCTGAAATTCCACCAAATGTAGTAGCACAAAAGAATGCAGCAAACGCAATCGAAATAGCTAAAAAAATCTTTTAGAACTTAAACAAATGTACAACATTACAACAGACCCCCAGTTTCAATGTGAAATATATAAAAAAATAGAAGAATTTCAAACACAAATACAAGCTAATAAAGATAGAATTGTCAAATTAAAAAGAAATGCAAAGTATGCTCAAAACTGTAAAGAAAAGAAACAAAAAATACTCATCGAAAATCAGGAAGTAATCAAATATGATCGGCCAGGTTGTCCATTGCCCCTTTTTAAGTATCTATATTTGCATAATCATATTCATGAATCAGTTAAACTTGGATCAGCTAATGAAAAGCGAAGAAAAGAAATAGTTAAAGTGCGGATAGTAGAAAATTTACGTAAAAATCTTGAAGAGAATTATGGTGTCTATATAGCACAAACAACATTAAATAATTACTTCTTACCTCGACAATCCAATTCTATAGCCGCGAAAACACACCACTACCCAGTATGGATTTCAGTTGCAGGCATTTCATGGACTAAAACACATGAATATCCTGACAGTTACTATTGTTTTGTATCTATCAAATATGCGAAACAGTTGGTATCCATTTTCGCTGATATGTCAATAATAATATCCCAGGATGATAAAGAAAGATAGACCTTGGTGTGCCTGCTATTAGTCGAACATTTCATAGATTACAATCAATTAATGATCCAATATGTGTACCAGATCATGATTTCTTCGTAGGGTTTGAACAAAAATTAATTCCATTAGTATACCTCATAATCAACCCAAATGATTCAAATGATGAGCTATGAACAGGACAACTTGCTATTTTCGTATGCCACTAGTGGTCTCTTGGTACTTCCTCGCTTACACACATTCATGATCTTGAAAATCTTACTTTAGATCCCCAATATGATTCTGCATTAAAAACTAATGGAGAAATTCAACCGATCTGGGTTTTATTAGTGGACGGTGGACCAGATGAAAATCCGAGACACCTAAAAAATATTAAGTCATATTGTTTGCTTTTTCAAAAGTTCAATTTGGATTATTTGACTATAAGAACAAATGCCCCGGGACAGTCCAAATATAATCTCGTCGAAAGAGGCATAGCGACACTTTCTGGTAAATTAGCAGGCGTTGTATTACCAATTGATCATTTCGGAATACATCTAAACTCTCAAGACAAAGTTATTAACCCGGAATTGGCTCTTAAAAATTTTAAATATGCTGGAGAAGCTCTCTGTGATATTTGGCATTATGATTTAATTTTTGGAAAGTATGTAAGTACACAATACATTGAGAAATTTACAAACTCTTTTGAGAATTTGCAGTTTGAGGGCACTGACAAGGAAAAAGAGGAAGAGCTTGAACAACAAGACAAAGAAAATCAAAAAAAAAATCAAAAAAATCAAACCAAAAATCAAAAAAAAAAAGATGACTTAGCTGAGTGTTTTATACCATGGTCATGGATTGAAAATCATTGTAACCTGTGCCAATATTCCCTCGACATAAAGCGGTGCACGAATACAAATTGCTGTGGACCACCTTGTGCAAAAGAAGCCATGGATTTTCTTCAGCTAAATAACAGTTTCTTGCCTCCGGTTACCGAAGCTAAAGATGGTCATTTTCTCAATGCTATACACCTTCTTGAATACTATGATCGCTTAAAAATTCCTAACTATGATTCGCACTGCCCATCTCTTGATGAAACAATTTATTCACGCCTTCATTGTCCCAAGTGCAATAAATATTTTCCAACACTTATATTTTTGATATATCACAAATGGCTAATGCACCCTACCAGCTGTGAAAGACCCAAAGGAAAATCTAAAGGCCAAATTGAGCAAAACTCATTAACCTTTGATGATTTCTCTCTTCTACTATCACAGCCGTATGTTCAGATAATTTTACCTGATAGAGTGTTTTTTAGAGAATAGGCATCAGATAATGAATGATCTGTAATTGTTTAGAATTTAATCATACTCTGCTCATAAAGGCATCAAAAAAAAAAAAAAAAAAAAATATATATATATATATATATATATATATATATAATCTTTGTGAGAACCAATATTTTGAATTAGGTGTAAATAGTTGGGTTAGAAATCCGGTTTCAATTAATAATTAGACAAAAACAGGCAAGTTTAAATAAAGTACCAGGTATCAGTATAATAAAATATATTTTTATGTGACTTCTACTAGCTATTGAGTATGTAAAGCGATTGGAGACTGTACTATCCAGATACTTCTTATTTATTATGAAAGAAATACCAAACGAATATATTTACACGATTATTATTAATCTTGTAAAAGATAGTATGTAAAAGTAAATAAATAAAACCAGTGTATACTAATCTGGATCGTCGTAACATTACTGGATTGTATGTTGCATCGTACGATTGTATATTGATTAATCAAACAATAAATTTGTAATCATCTTTTTTAGCCATATACAGTATATACTATTACTAATACATCGCGACAACGATTGGCTAGTATTTTATATGTGTAACCTAAAATCTCACATTACCCCCACCCCAAAAATATTAGGTAATAAATGTCATGACCCTAACACTAGACTTTTTAGTTTAAATAAATTAAAATAGAATTTAAATTTGAAATTTGGGATGATATTTTGGGATTTGAGATGGAATTTGGAATTTGGGATAAAATTTGGGATTTGGGATTTGGGATGAGATTTGGAATTTGGGATAAGGTTTAGAATTTGGAATGAAGTTTGGGATTTGAAATTTGAAATTAGAATTTGTCCGGTTTTGCTATATGAAATTTTTAAGTATAGATAAACAATCCTGTTTGTTCAGATTTATCTATAGCCCAATTTCAAATCTCATATATTTTGCCAACAAGTATACTCTAAATGTACACTTTTTAGTTTTTTTTCTATAATTCTAAAAGAAAATCTGCCTATATTAATTTTTTGTATTTGATTGGCTAGCAAAGTAGTAATACTATACAGTATATTTCTAAGTCATAGCTATAATGCCATAAAGGAAGTGCAGTAAATCATGTAATTAGAGTTTATATAGATCATACCCTCCTCCCCTCTAGTAATAAGGCTATTGACCAATCAAATTTTATCTTCTATAATATTTAAAATATATAAAAAATTATAAAATTTAACAATTAAGGTATAGCAACTTAGTGAAGTGGTAGAGTTGTTACCCCTCAAATAGCAGATTTAGAGTTCAAATTCCAGAGACGATGATATTAAAAAATGAATCTGTGTTCAGTATAATTATTCACTGATTGGTTGTTTGGTATATTATTTAGAATAGGAGCTTTGGCACACAAAATCCAGATAATTGGAATGATCAATACCTGTTTTGAAGCCCTGAGTAAGGAAGTAGCCGAAACCTTTGACAGTATTACAGAAAAGACTAAATTTGGAAATTAGAACTGAGACTGATGAACCGAACGACAAAAGATCTTTAAGTGGGGGATCTACCAACTAAACCGCCAATTTGAGAAAACTGCAAATTGACAGATATACATGATGCATACCAACTAAGTTACCGGCTTGAGAAACTGGTAGCAGGAGACCCTACCCTAGTGAACCTGCAGATTGGAAGACATGAGTCATAAAGCATGGGTCAAAAAAATAGGCCAGATATGCCAGAGAACTGGAAACTCTCGAGTTGGAGGAAAAGAATGTATGCTATAGAAATACAGACCAAAATGAAACGGGCTAAAGGCACTTAGAGCCGGCCAAAGTCAAACCTTCTGAGTTGTTGGTTGGAAGTAAGGGATGGACTAGTTAGGGAATAATAGAAAAAGGAAAGTCTGAATATGAGTATCGAGATGGAAAATGAACCTTATAAGGGCATAGCAGTCACTAAGCTATACTACAAGTGGAATTTTCAGAGATTGCAATAACTAGGCTGGCCAGAATAGAGTATGAAAAGCTCTAGTAGGTTTATCTCAAGGATAGCTGTGGTATCCGCTCCACGGAGAAATGCAAGCCGGTAATTAGTTGGTGCAAACCCAGGATAAATCCACAGAAGTCCTAAGATGGAATGCGAAATCTACATAGAACAAGCTATAATCGTAGTAGTCTCTTAGTTAGAATGAAATAATATATATAATGAAGATCAGAAAGTTTAAATAGATAGTCCTAGTTTGGGCTATAGTACAGACATCTAGTGTAAACAACACCAAAAGCACAGTGGCTAGTTGTATCTTTGTTGTAATCAGTATCATTGATTTCTAATAAAAAGTCTCCTTTGGTCAAAGAAGTCACCTTAATACTAAAAAAAAAAAAAAAATTTAACAATTTCTAGATATAAATTTCTAAACAACTATTAATCCAAATTAGATAAAATTTTTTTTGCAAATATATATGATATTTGGCTATAACATATTAAAATTTTAAACAATTAGAATTAGTAGTTCTTAAGAAATTACTTAAAAACTATAGACAATTATTTTAATTAAATTATAGTGGGTACTATGGTATTATGAATACTTTTTAAAATTTTATATTAAGCTAAATAAATAAGCTATAAATCTAAAAATTATATAAAATATTATTTAAATCTAATGCTTTTAAATAAAAAAAAGTTAATTAAGGTTACACAATTTTGTGTAATGTTACACTTGTATGAAAATAGTAATTTTTCAAAAATTAGTTATTATAATTGCCATATATTAAAACTTAATTTTTTATTAAGTAAATTAAATTTCATTTTAATTAAATTTCATTTTAATGTAAAATTTGTTCAGCATAACAAATTATATATAATTCTAAAATTTTAGAAATTTTTAAAAAATTTTAGGCTAGATAATATTATTAAATATAAATTATTTTATTTAAAAATTAATAAATTACCAAATATAGTAATTTTATTTTTAATATAGTTATTTAATAAATATTTTTTAAAATATTATAAAATTTTCAGAATATATATAATTTGTTATATTAAATAATTTTATTAAAAAAAATTGCTAGTTTACTTGATAAAAATTAAAGTTATATTTTATATTATTTAGTAATTTTAATTATTATAAAAATATAGTAAAATTTAAAAAATCATA